TCTATATATGTAAAAAGTAAAAAGTAAAAAATCGATTCTGCTAATATATCTATTTAATTGTTTTCTAATATAGAACAGATTGAGTTGAACAATATAACACCTATGAACCCAGAAGATGGAATACCTCTAAACTCAAATTTAACACCTTTGAACCTAGAAGATGGAATATCATACCATTCCGAATATAAGCAATATCCGAAAATAAGCATTACTAAAAATAGTTTTATTCCAAAAATAAGCAAATTTTAAATTATTTAAATTTTTTTTTAAAACTGTGTAATTTAATAAATAAATAAAAATAAAAAATATTAATTAACATTGTTATTAAAGTTATGTTACGTTTTAATCACATTTTTTATTATAAACCATGAAATGCAATGTAAAATAATGAAATTTAACAAAAATCATTTTACAATTTTTACGATCGTGACTAAGGAATTTCATAATTAGGTACTAACTACTCGATCCAATACTATTCTTCATAATCAACCTCATTATCATTAATCTTATCATCATAAATCTCATCATCATCATCTTCTTTATCATTAATATCATCCGCTTCTTCATCACTAAAGATATCATCATCATTGTTGATTTCTTCTTCACTACTTTCATCATCCGATCTATCTAGAGAGGTTGAAATCTTACAAGTTTTAAAAAATTGTATAACTATGTTATCTGGTATTTTTACCTAAGCCCGCTTAACCTACCCATAAACATCAGATATTCTAGCGCGATGAAGATTTCCCACTACAGTCATTCCAGCTCCCTATCTACCATCCATAAATGCCACTCTTTTCGTAAATAATCCTTGAATGGCTTATTAATTGTAACATCAAGTGGTTGGCATAAGCAGGTTAGACCACTAGAAATAACTGCCAAGTCAAAGCCATTATCCTGAAATTTTTGTTTAACAGTTTCTTCCAAATGTCTTTTGAAAGAATCGTATACAATCATTTTTGGAGCATTATTAGTTAGATCCTTAATGTAATCAATATACCTTTTCATCAAATTTGTATCCATCCACCCAGATTGTTGAAACTAAACAAAAATACCAAATGGAATTTGTTCACCACGCGATAATCATTTTCCTTTAAAAATACAAATTAGAGGAAATTTTGTTCCATCTATATAAATTAATATTAAAATAGATTAATAAATAAAATCTACTACAATAATATATTGATGGTATTTTACCTGCAGCACATGTTAAAACTACTGTGAATCGATTTTTCTCATTTCCAGTACTATGAATTTATACTGTTTTTTCACTTATTTAATCGATAGTAAAATTTCCTGCCATATCGAACCAAATGGGAGTTTCATTCATATTAAGAATATTAGACATTTCAAAAGATTTTTCAGTTCTAAGTTGGATAATAAATCGCTGGAAATTTTTTAATAATTTATTGGTTTGTGCAGGAAACTTTTGTGCAATTTTGGTATGACGTCGCCGAGATAATTTAAATATTTTCATAAATGCAAATATCCAGCGAGAAGATAATTTAAAATCTGCTGAATTATTATAAAGCCTTATCATTTCTGGCTCGTTTAGAATTTCTATCATCTTTACTTGTACAATTGCATAAGAAACACCTAACCCAATTTTTCTTTGCTCTATAATCCAATTATAAAGCTTTTTTTCTGCTTCAGGATAAAATTCTTTTCGCCCAGAACTAACTTTTTAATAGTTTGATTCTTTTCAACCCATTTTTCGCTTGCCTTAATCCACTGAGTAACCATACTATTATTAATGTTATAATGTCTTACCGCTGCATTTCTTCCATTCTCTATAGCATAATTAATTACTTTTTTTTTGTTTGAGAGTATAGGAATTGCGGCTTTGCTTAGTAATAATCATGTTAAATGAACAATGAATTTAAATTCAGGTTTCACAACATTTTTTTTAAAGTTAACGCGAAAGTTCATCACGTTACACTCAAAAATGGCTATTTATGACATATTACGGTTTTTGATATGCTGCGAACAAATAATTTATAAAAAATACCCGAAAATAAGCACTACAATAGCAAAATTAAGGTGCTTATATTCAGAATGGTACAGTACCTCCGAACCTAAATATAACACCTTTGAACCTAGAAGATAGAACTTTGAACCTAAAAAATGAAGGTGAGATTATTAGTTTCTTCGTTTGCATCTATTTATTAGAGTCAAATAAACTACTGACATATCACTTTACCCTTATAATCCAGTTATAAACCTTTGTGTTGGTTGTATCTTTGAATCATGGGAAAGTGTTGACACTATTATGGAAGCTTACAGTAAAAAACATGGATTTGCAATTATAAAGAAATGGTTAATTCATCATGAAAATGGCAGTATTAAGCATTATAGTTTTGGATGTGAATTTGGCAGCCGTTATCAACCAAAAAAACTAATCAATATTAATAAACATTGAGATCATAAATCAAAATGCCAACAATGTGTATGGAATGCAAATTACAATTGCCTCCAAAATTCTCAAACCATAGTTCTTACCACTTTTAATAATTCGCATAACCACACACTATTTCCTAATACTGAAGAGTACTTAACAAAATATCAGTGTATCTTTAATGATGACGTTTTCAAAGAAATCCAATTCCTTACGGAAAAAATGGAAATCTATCAATTACTACTTAATGAAAGTTATTAAAAGCAAAGTTTCTGACTCTATCTATTCTCGATTGTAATCACGTTAATGCAATATAAAAATATAAGGTTAAAGCAGAAATAACACATGATGCATCTTGTTTATTAAAAAAACTCATACAACATCAGTTAGATGATCCTGGATGGTTTGTCGAGTTTCAACTTGATGAAGAAAATAGACTTATCTGACTTTTTTGGATGTCTCCAACTCAGATTGCTCTTTGGTTGGAATACCATGATGTTATTTTGAATAACAATACCGCTAAAACCAATCGCTACCAAATGCCACTTTCACTTTTCCTTGTTGTTGATAACAATACTAGGTCTCATCTTGTTGCACAAGCTCTTATGTCTGACAAAACTACCGAATCCTATAAATGGATCCTAGAATGTACAAAAAAAGCAACAATGACCAAACCATTAGTATTCGTTACTGATGCAGATCTCGCTGCAGACGCAGCAATCAGACAAATATATTTAATAACCTACCAAAGCCATTGTATTTTTCTCATTAGCGAAAACCTATCAAAAATCTCAAATTCAAGTTTGGTAATCAATATGATAGTTTCATTCGTGATTTTTTTATATGTTGTAATAGTTTGTGTGAAGAACTTTTTTATGAAAAATGGTCAGATCTTATCGAAAAATATCTTAAAGTGAAAGATTATTTAATGAAAGCCTTCTACCCTAGCCGACAAGCATGGGTTTGTGCGTTTACATCAAAGATATTTACCGCAGGAGTACAAACTACTTCCTGCGTTGAGGGTTTGAATAATATTATTAAATGTGAGTTAAGAGCAAACAGTACCTTGTGTGATCTTGCCAGTGTTCTTGATGCACGGCTTGAAAGTGAAGTGCAATGAAAACATTTTTTCGAATACCATACCCTATCGACCTGTATGGGAATCACATCGGTCAGCAACGATCTTTTTCCTAATATTGACAAAATGATGTCTAAATACCTGACACCTCATATCTTATCTGCTGAATACTTGGAAATGGCGCAATGCCTTTACTTTATTGCAAATAAAGCTGGACCGGACATAATTAAGGTAATTTGCATCCTAATTTTAGGGTTAAATCATTAATAAAATCCAACATCTAATACTTTTGCTATATAGGATCCAAGCGTTAGCGGTTTGTCTTAGAACATATTAATATATTAATATATTAATATGTCCTAAGACAAACCACTTGTACAAGATTAATGTGTCTTAGGACATTATAATATGTAAATTAATATGTCTTAGAACATTATAGTCTATTGATTAATATGTTCTAAAGATGGGGTCTGCTTCCTTCTCTATGACCTATTGGTTAGTAATTATAGATGAACTGCGTGCCTATTTGGTTGCCTTTTAAAATATTGAAATGGTGTAAAAAAGAGGCGACAGTAGCGTGGTAGATTTGCGATTAATTTTGACTGACTCTATGATATAACTTTGGCTGATCTTTTAGGCATGTGATTTGGGGATCCAATTTGATATCATGATGGCATCCTGGTAGTTTCATAGAACTCTACTGAAACTGTCATAGAACTGGCAGGGATTTAGAGTTTCTATTAGTTCGTCAGTTTTATGCCAGCTTGGGTGTCAAAATATTATATCCAAAGTTCTGGTTGAAATTGTGGAATAGTGTTGGCCAAAATTAAGCAAATTAATACTGCATCTTACTACACTATAGTCATGTGATACTGTTCTGGTGCTGGAATACCCTCATATAGTTGCTTCCCTCTTAATTGCCATTTCTTGATTGCCGAATTTGCAATCCATCTATTTGCTAAAAATGTATTGCAATCTATTCACCCATTTTTTGATTGCTGGTGAGACATATGCGAAGTGTTTAGTATTGTGTCATTCTTGCAATTCCACCTTTTATAGCCTATTTGATTACCAAAGATGAGACATGAAGTGCTGAACTTGTAATCTATATTTATTTCTCTTTTAATTGTCAGAGATGTATCCTATATTTGAAATCCTGTCATATTTGACTATTTGATTGCCAGGTTGAGGCATGAAGTGCCGAATTTGCAATCCTGCCATTTGTCAAAGATGTATCACAATCTATTTACCATCTTTTTGATTGCTAGGTGAGGCACATAAAATGCCGATATTGTGTTATTCTTACAATTCTGTCTTTTATAACCTATTCGATTGCTAAGGTTGAGGCACGAAATGCCGAATTGGTGATACCACAAGTTATAATTTCTTATTTCTTTTCCTTAATATAATTCTACCTTGGGGTATCACCAAATCTATACTATATTTTAGGTTTCTAGATCTTTCTCTTGATCTGTTAATCTGCGAGAGATAGCTTTTCCTTTTCTTGACAATTTTCAGTCAGGACGTTTCAGTCAAAATCACGTGGGTCTTTTTTCAAATGAATATGAGAAAAAGGGTATTACCATATTTATTACTTTTGGGTATCTTCGATTACTTGGGGTATCACCATTTTGATTACTTAGAATATCACTACTTCGATTACTTGGGGTATCACCACTTCGATTACTTTTGGATACTACTATTGACCCAAAATAATCAGAAAGCTTTTCTCCTAAAGGAGGAGGCGAATATGGCTTTTTTATTTAAAGTTTTCGATTTTCTATATAGTTTTATACTTTGTTGTCATATTATTATCATGCTACTTGCACCTGCGCAAAAAAATTTCGAACCCAACCCTATAGAAATAAATGAAGCAATAAGGCTCTTTTCAGATGTAGCAGACCTTGATTTTGAGCCGGGTTATAATGATCATACATATTTTCAACATTTATTGGTATCTAATACTAGAGAGAATGTGGCGCTTTTGGAAGCCTATCATCCTGAAGAAATTGTTTCCAAATATATTGTTCGGGCGGCAGGATCAGGCTTTACACTAATCGATCACCCATCTGAAGTTTATGGGATTCCTGATGCCCATGAATGTATTGACGGGAACCTGCCTCTTCGTCTTGTTCTGGATATTGATGCGAGGCAGAAGCCCGATCCCATGAATCCTGATCTCCCTTCCTTAGATGCAAATAAAATTTCTCGTGAAGATTTATTGTCTAGAATCTTAATTGCCTGCATTGATATCTTATATTCTGATTTAAAACATCTCATAACTTTAAATGCTTTTGCTTTAGCTAGTTCGTCTAATGATAATAAATGCAGTTGGCATATTGTATGTTCTGATGCCTGCTTTATTGACTATAGAGACCTTAGAGGTTTTGTAAAAAAGGTTGCTGATAGGGTTGGAAAA